TGGTGGGAAGGTGTCTGTGAAACTTCAAAGGGCAAGGAGATGGGGTTCGACTGCTGGTGCCTGAGACCTCTGGTGGGGCTTGGGCCCGGGGGGCGGCACTTTGTGCGCTCTGCGGACTGCTGCCGGGCTCATCCAGCCGCCTGTCCTGCGCGCTGGCCTGGAGCTGCCTGCTCCAGGAGACGAGAAGACCGCGAGGATGTTCAGTGAGCCTGGTAAACAGGAGCGGCCGTCGTGCTGCAGGCAGAATCGCTGTATTTGGTGAATTCCTGCCCATTTCTTTCTTCACGTTTCCTTTGTCTTTCTGAGACTCAGACTTAACTGGAACACAAAAACACATAAATAGTTTTTACCAGAAATGCCAGAATTACCAAGCTGTGCTTGCTTGGAAAATTATGTGTAAGTTGCTCTTGAAGGAATGTGTCCCATCTCCAAGGAAGTGTCTCGTTGCGCTCCTGGTGTTTCTTTGGGATCAGAAGAACTGAACAGTGGGCTCAGGAGATTGCTGAGGATGCTGATACTGCCATCTCACTGCTTACTTGCTTTTTCTTGATTCATTCATTGCCATAGATCAAAGTATTACTCAGAAAAACAAAAAAACCCATGTATATTTCCAGTAAGCCTGATAATCCTCATTGTGCTTCACAGAAAATCTACAGCCTTAGGGAAATAACTGCCCTTCAGAGTAAGCGAAACTCTTCCTCTTGAGCTGGCTGTACTTGAGTATGCCTGTAGTGCCACCTCACCAGGAGTTCACTGCATAAAGCGTAGCACACAGTAGCGGAAGGCTCAGCTGGCCTTACTTGGTGCAGTTTCAGCGAAACAACGCCCAAAGACCCTGAGTTCATTGGCGACTGATAGTTGTGGAAAATAACTTAGTCGCAGATCTGAGGACACACAAAGGCATTATCCTCACTGCTCATTTTAAAAATATGTGTGACTGCGAAGACCAGCCGTGTGTTCAGAAATGTGTTTCTGATTTATACAAACACGCAGTGAGGCTTCCTGGTGTGCTGAGTTGCAGCAGCACCGAGGCAGGCCACCTGGAAGCGCTGGGGGCCTGGCTGAGCATGCGTGCTGGGCTCAAGACTTGGGAAGCGTTGGCTCAGCTCTGCTTCTAAAGACTGGATCCTTGTAATCGGTCTGTAAATTATTTGGGGCAGGAGCAGGCTGTGCAGAACTGTACAGCTTTCATCTCTTTGGGTCCTCTGAATGTCATTACGGCAACTAGTGTTGGTGATAGTCTACTCTAACTGAGTATTTGTATGATCTGCGTTTCAGAAGGGTGTAAAAAATCGGGTTTGTTTAGCTTGCAATTTTTTTTTAGATGACAGCTTACGTTGACGTACATTTTTGGTACTCACTCTTATTCACTAACTGTGGTAGGTTTTTTGATGTTGGAAAAAGTTCATGAAAGCATTTACTAATCAAGCGTCAATTTAGTCAAATGCTCTATGAAATTGGTCTAGAAGACACTTCAGGTGATGAATAGGGCAGTTTTACTTAGTTTCTTACTCGGCTGCCAAAAACGTTCTTGAGGTTTATGGGTATTTCCTAGTAGAAAGTAATAATACTGGTCTTCTTGCTAACAGGTCCTTTTTACAAAGTGTTACTAATTACAAACTTATCACATAAATTAACTAACTTTTTTCTTGCAGTACTTGGGGTTTTATTGCCATGATCCTAAAATGATTAAGATTTTAAAGTCTGAATTTAGTTGCATGTGCTTCTGCTATTACTTGGTGATTTCCACTAATGGAAGCTAATTTTGCTTAGTTTTAAGGACTCTGCAAAATCAGTCAGTCGTGCAAAGCTGCATGGTCTGTTCACTGCTTTGTTCAGTCCTTCGCTTCATGTCAAAGTTTTCTTAATTGTAGGTTTATTTCAAGTACAAACAACTGAATGGTTTTCTGTTTTAAATCTATCCAAGATACAGTCCTATTTTGTAGCACTGGACGAAGCTTGGCACTTTTCTTGGTTTCTCAGCATCTTTTATGTTATTAATCTTAACATCTTATTTATGTGTTTTCATATTTAACAGAATTTGTCAGGAGCCTGTTGAAATATTTTCCATCTAGCAACAGGAATATTTGTGCCACGCTCTGTGAACGCTCTCTATAGAGGGATGTCTGTTTAAAAAAAAAAATCCTTGCTGGAAGGAAAATCGTGGTGTAAACAGAGAGATCATTTGCAAAAATATTTGAGGGATTTGAGGCTCGGGACTGTTAGGAGGCTCAGTATGTAGTGGAAGTGATGTGTACAGTCTTCGAAGGAAAGTTTGACATCATTTCCCTCGTGATATCTAGCTACTGGCTGCTTTCCAGAATATTTTAGCAGGCGAAGACACACAAGCCTTTTTTATTTTTTCAGTGCTCCCTTTTATCTGGAAAAAAAAAGTCCTTTAAATAATAAAAGGAATTTGAGAAAATTAAAGCAGTGAAAGCTTAAAAATAGGCAGGAAGCTTTTAAAGTGCTCCCCGTCATATATTTGTACACTGCTCTAGAAAAATAATAACAGTGGTAATTCAAGTATGGTAAAGTGGGGCCACTGTATGAATTTAAGATAGTCAAACTCTTACCACATAAACTAGTGTTAGTTTTAAATCATGTGAACACTACTGCTCTCAGTGCTCTAGGGAATACTTTATTGTCATCTAAGCATAATCTCTTTTTACCTCCCAAAGGTTCACATATTATCACAGTGGAAAATTTAGCTAGATACATCGATTCTTGATCCTGCACATTTGCTATTTAAAGCACATCTGTGTTTTTTTTTTTTTTAATTTAAATCTTTATGAAATGAGAGCTGGGAGTGTGGAAGAGAAAATAAATAGCCAATTACCAAGTCTCACAACTGTTACTCAAAAAGGCGCCTTCTCCCCTTTCCTCTTCTCCCACAGAGAGTTACCAACCATGAGGTCTCATGTCATAAAGCTTATTGGTCTTGTGTAGTATTTTTCTGGTTAATCAATTAATGTAAATGTGTTACTCAACCGATATAAGTAGGATGAGATCCTACTGTGGGAGCAGCCATCCTTTTATATCTTATAAGAGTGTCTAATCTGTCCCTTTTGTCATTAATTTTCCAGTGCTGTTTTTGCATCAGTGTGTAAATTAACCACTTGTAGTTTTGGGCTTGAGGTTTCTGCTGTACACATCCCATTGAGAGACGCTGAACAGTGATTCAAAGGGGGAGTCGAAGTTTGAGAAACCTTAGGATTTGCCTGTTCTCTTAGCAGCTGTCTCTTAATAAAGCTACACTAACAGGGCAAAGTAGAAACAAGATACAGCTGAACTCTCAAAAAATAGACGTGGAATGGTTGGTAAATAAACTTTTTTTTTTTTTTGCCTGCTCTTCCCTCTGTAGCTATGACAGGGGTTCCACATTCAACGTGTTCGTGGGAAAGGGCCAACTTATTGCTGGGATGGACAAAGCTCTGGTTGGCATGTGTGTGAACGAGAGGCGCTTCGTGAAAATTCCCCCCAAGCTCGCCTACGGAAGCGAAGGCGTCTGTAAGTACAGCGCTAGAGCCGCAAATGACTAGTTGTGTGAGCGATACAATGGAGCAGATAGAAGATCGAATGACAGAAAAGAATGGTAGAAATTGCACATAATTAATTTCACAGCAGTTCTCCCCTGCTCAGGGGTATTTGTTAGCACTTTCTGTAGCCTGGCTAGTTTCTCTAGACTCCCTCTTCGATGGCATGGGAGATCCTGATGTGCTAAAGTAAGATATGTTGACTGCAGTGGACCTTCAGCAAATGAGCCGTGTTAGCTGAAGTTAACTATTTATTTATACCTTCCCGATTGTTAAATACGTATTGCCGTTGCAGGTCGACGCATGGCCTTGTTAGAAAAGAAAGCAGCTTTCCTCTAAAGACTCACGGGGACAGCACATACAAGATCAGTTTACCCAGTGGACATACCTGATAGCAGTTCACTCTGTCAGATTTCTCCCTGCTTATGTGGCTACAACAGTGACAAGGGACAGGGGAATTTGAACACAAAAAAGAAGAAATCACACACGTTACTTTAGGGAATATGTGAACAGGCTCCCGTTTTGCTGGTGCCCTGTGAAAAAAGGGAAATGTAACTGCTCGTGTTGTTACTGCTTGTGTTGTTTTGCCTTTGCAGCTGGTGTGATACCCCCGAACGCTGTGCTCCATTTTGATGTGCTTCTCATAGATCTGTGGAATTCAGAGGATGAAGTGCAGATTCAGACTTATTTTAAACCCGAGACATGTCCCCGGACAGTCCAGGTCTCTGACTTTGTACGATACCATTATAATGGAACGTTTTTAGATGGGACCCTGTTTGATTCCAGGTATGCAGCTGGGCTTTGTGTGTGTGTGTTTAAATCTGATGTCACTTAAAAGAATTTTTTCCTCTGCCTCCACTGGTATCACCAATAATGTTAATTGCCCAGGAATACAGAGATTTTTCACAAGAGACTAAAGCTAGCTCCATATGAATGACAGTAATTTCTTCAAGGATTATGGCAAGGCAGTACTGACTCAAACTAATAAAAGAATTTAATTATTTCTGCATGAGCATCAGCAGCCCAGATTTGTTTCTCTCATTCCCTGTATCCATGTTACTGTTTATTGCAGTCAGCTAATGGTTTTTGTAATAATTGCAGCATTGCTATTCAAGTTAGATGCAAGCTTTATAAGCTAAGCAGACACAATTGTTAAAGAAACTGAACTACTAACACTCTTATATTGAGATTTTAAGCTTAAAGCATGTGTACTCCATTAACATTTGGTGTTACGTTTGTAAGTCAATTTTCAAAACATTATTTAGGTTCCTAAACCACCTAAGCAGTCTGGAAACTGCTACCAAACAAGATATTGATAAATCAAGGAGCAGTGTATCTTAAGCAGCAAGTTATGAGTTGTACTCTTTTTGTGCATAGTATGACCTCTGATGTTGCTTTCTGTGGCTCTATGACATTCTTTTTTTTACATTTTTAGCCATAATCGTATGCGAACTTATGATACCTATGTTGGGATTGGATGGCTGATTCCTGGTATGGATCAGGGTCTCTTGGGAATGTGCGTAGGGGAGAAGCGCATTATCACAATACCACCCTTCCTGGCATATGGAGAAGAAGGAGACGGTAAAAGTTACTCTTTTTTTTTCCCCAAAAAGAAACACAACACAACACAACACAACACAATCCTTACACAAACCTGTGCCCCGTGTAATTTTAATGTATGGGCAGCATTATTACCACTTAAATACAATGGAATGAACGGATGGAAAAGAGAGGTTAAAAATGTAGTAGGTGCAGAAGGTAGTTGATTAGAAAGTTCAGGGTTTTTTTTTCTTACAAACAATAAATTGCTAAGTTGACCTACTGTTGATTCTAATTGTAACCTTTTTATAGTGAAATTCAGTTTCCTTTCAGATGATTGCCTCTGTGGTTAATATCATGATTCAGAGAATTGGCAGTCACGTGACTGTTTGATTCTTCCAGTGCCTGCCACAGAGAGCAAAAAACCTTTAAAAACAGGAAAATCAATTTGTAGTTCCACTTTTGCTCATTTTTGGCAACAAATGCCCCAGTAATAACTACCAGATGGACTGTATGCAGCCTGCAGGTCGTACAGAGAGCTCCTTGCTGTAAATGAGGGGGTAGTTAGGTATATCTGGGACTCTTCCTTGCTTAAATTCTCTTTCTGCTCTTAATATTTAAGGATTGTCTGTGTCTGTGGTGCACAAGTTTTCATATGCATTCCATGACTTTATTACCTTTAATTATGATAACTCTACGGAGATTTGTTATCCATAGACGTTGTTACTTTTTAAAATTTTGCCAAGATCTTGAGTTCACTGGTTCTCTGATAAAGCTCTGATACATCTCTACCATATAATTTGTGCACTGATAGAAAGGTACTTCTTCAGTGAGATACTCTATCCTTTTTCAACTTCTTTCCTGTGCTGTTCTGTTTTGCTATTAACAAGTAGGAAGAGCAGGAGTACCAGATCTGTGTTCTGATTGTTATTTTTATGTACTTTCATAAAGTATATTGGAAATACTTGTAGACTAAACACATAGCTCAGATGGATCTGTTGTAAGTTGACTATGGTAGGTGTTATTGAAGAGACTGCAGTTTTTGGTGATCTAATGCCATCATAATAGGAACAAAATGAAATAATTGAATGTGGGTGACAAACTCGCACATGAAATAAAAGATGACTTACTGGAAGCGGATTACACTAATCTGTATTTGGAGGGAAAGTGCCTGATACTCAGAAGTAGGTTATTTTTCTTCAACAAAAAAACGTAAGTTCCTTTTAAAACCTCTGCTCTTTCTTACTGTTTTCTGCTCTAATACTCTTGTAGGTAAGGAGATCCCCGGCCAAGCTTCTCTGGTCTTTGACGTGGTTTTACTAGATCTCCATAACCCTAAAGATGGTATTACTATTGAGAACCAGCACATACCTGAAACCTGTGAGCGGAGAAGCCAAACAGGAGACTTTCTGCGATACCATTACAATGGCACACTTTTGGATGGCACGTTGTTTGATTCCAGGTAATGAAACCATTCAGCAACGCAGATCCTGTTTCCAGGTTGGCTTGTCTGTCTGTCTAGAATATACCCAAATAGAATTCATTGTTTTTCCTTCCTTTTTGAAATTTGTTAGTGGAGAGCCTTCTCTTCCTAAAGCGCACACAAACCTTTTCAGTGTGGAGAGCAAGACAAAGGCCAGTTTTGTATGATGACAGTACCTAAGACGCCATCTAGGGGTTATGATCCACCTGATGGAGCAACATATGCTTTAGACACGCATGTTTGAAGACGCTTTAGTCCAAAGAGTTTATCTGCCAAATAGGTAATATTACTAAAGAGAGAAAGAAAATAAATATGATTGCCATTTAACATCTAGAGAACTGTAAAACAGTGAGCTAGTAGCTAGCTTGAAGTTGCATAAACCAGACCCTGATCTCAGGATAGTCTTTCTTTCTGTACTTGAAGAGCATCTGCATTTTGAAGAGTAACGTCTTTCAGAACAGAATTCAGCAACAGGATTTCAGTGGTAAAGGAAAAGGGATCACTGTCACTTCAGATTCAAAACTTTCTGGACACACATGAGTCATGTGCAGAATTATATGCTGAATAATATAACCTTGTAGCTTCCTGTCATTTTGTTTTCTCTTTAATGAGCAGTAGCTTACTTTTCCCTCTGCAGGTTTCAAAACAGCTGGCACAAGTAGCTAAAAAGAGTTGAAAATGATCCACTGTAAAACATTTTACAAAATAACTCGTAGAAAATTGCTTCATACTTCTACAGCTGCTGTAAGCTGAAGATCAGGATCAGTTTGCAAACACAAGCTGAGTAATGTGCCAAGTGTGCTACTCCCATGAGAATGAGTAAGAGAGTTATAGTATATATTGTGTAAGTGAATTGAGATGCTATCAGTCAAGTTCAGAGTCAGCCTTGCTCTCCCCACTCAACTGCTCAACTTGGGGGAGAGAAAGCAGGAGACCTGAGTCATCAGCCACCACTGTGGAACTTAAGTATGGCTCATCATGCACAGTGCACCTACCCACAATGTCTTTTTGAAAAGTAAACAATTGCTATCTTTTATGTAGCAATTAGCGATTTGTGAAAATGGCTGTGGTATTTATATTAGGGTTGTTGTCAATAAATAGTAATAAATGCTTTGTAGGCAGCAGCCTCTACATCATCTACAGAGCTGACTGTTGTCATAGGGCTTATTGGTTGGATTGTCATTCCCTGGCTTCCTGTGCAAGTTACAAGTAAGGCCAATGTCTAACAAGCCTCTAAAGATACTCTGCCAAATCTGTTAGTCATCCAAAGAGAGATTAAACAGCTAACAATAGCTATTGAAAGCCTTGGAGTTGGCCGGGAAAACTTTCCCACTGGTATAGGGAGCATTCCAAAAGCGTGGCTAATGGTGGGGTCAGGAGATCGAATAATCTTTTCTTTCATTCTTTTCTTTTTTCTCTGCAATATTGGGCTGCAGAAGCGCTCCTGGGTAGCTCAGCCAGGGCTGCCTGGACTTGGAGCCGTTGAACAAGCCTCTGAATTATATCAGGGTCTGTACTGGTCTCATGCTTTCCCAGAATCACCTCGTAAAGATGAATTAAAAACTTTCTGCAGTCCCTCCTGTGGGATGTGCCTCCAAGTAACATGCCTTGAAGAAAGGTAGAACGCAGCCACATCCTTTGTAACAAACATCATCTGTTTTTGTAGGCTTGTTTTGTTTTATCAAGAGGTGTTGAAGCAGATCCTTTGACGTACGTTTAAGTGATTGGCATAGTTTAGAAGGGAGGGACTGTATTGATACTGTTGTCATGATTCATTTTTCTTCTGTGCATCACAGGTGAACTTACTTATCTCATCTTATGCTTGTAGCAGTTAAACTACATAGTTGTAGTTGTTGCAAAATTAGATAGTCTGAAGGGCATAACCTAAACTGTATCTAGTTTATAAGCGCTTATTTAAGCAGTGTTGGGACAAGGTGGGATTTAAAGTAGAAAGCTTTTTTTTTTTTCCCAGTTACTTATTAAAACCTGAATTCTGTTTAGTTTAAAATACTTAAATAGACAGGTGAGGTTTTTTTTCTGTATATGGTAGGAATGTGTTTGTAAATAAATTGTTACCCTGCCAGGGTCCCAGTATTGGTTAATAAATAACTCATGCATCAGTGGCTGATGAAACATGGTAGCCTAGATTCATTGAACACGGTGATTGCGTTGTGCCTGTCCAGTGACAGTTAATGACTGTGTGTTTGACTTCAGCTGGTTTAAGAATTGTGGTAGAATTGTGTCACAGACCCATTGCAAGAGTCTGTATTTTTTCAAGCACTCCTACCACTGCTAAAAAGTAAATATTTTCCGCAGCTATTCGCGAAATCGTACATATGACACCTATGTTGGGAAAGGCTATGTGATTGCTGGGATGGATGAAGGTTTGCTAGGTGTATGCGTTGGTGAAAAGAGACGAATAATAATCCCTCCTCATCTTGGATATGGAGAAGAAGGAAGAGGTGAGTTTGACTTTTCGTTCAGTGCAGTCTTCCCTAATTAATGGTGTTTCCTTTGCTCTTCAGTGCAGTTGTATAAGCTTTAAAGTACTTATTCCACATTTGAAAGGCTTATGAATTATTACATTATTTGGTGGGCGTGCAACTGATGGGATTACACCCAGAATTCTTAAAGTTATTTTAATTAGCTTAATAGGCTGGACAATAAGAATGCAGGGCAATCTCATACGTAGTTGGTGACCTGAAATCATTTGGACAATGAATGTTTCAGACAGACTGGCATTTGGATGCCAGGAGCTCTCCAGTGTGAGATCTTCCTTCCTGTGTATCTTAACAAGCTCTGTACGTTAAAGGAATTCATTGTGTTAAGTTTTCTTCCCCATTCCTTTCACAGCCACAGGTTTTGTGGACTCCTAAGTCGCCTCTGTAAACAGTGGATGCATGTAACAGCAAAGCATATGTGTATGTATAACATACAATTAAAATTCCTTTGGGAAATCTCGTTAGTACTTGAGAGTATTGTGAGAGATTGGATATGTTAATCCTAACCAATCACAAGTTTATAGCTGGAGTTTCAAAAGGTACCTCCTGGGATGTTATATGGGAAAAGATAAGAAAAGATTCTTTTCTTTTCTGTGAATTCTTTTCAAATTCTATTATGGTGATTCGAGAATTAAATTTTTCTACCAACAAAACCGATTGTTGGGTCTGGATGTATCTATTATTGCTGATAATGCAATTGCACATTATCCTGGGAAGGGGGGAAAGAAGCTGCTTGCTCTCAGGATGTTTTCAAGAAATATAACCTTTTAGGCACAATCACATTCCTTGAAGCATAAGTCCTATGAGAATTTCCCTGATCAGTAATGAATTGGTACATGAAACAGAAATCAGTCATTTAGGAAGGTCACAGGAAATATATGCTTATGGCTACATTTCTGCATAATTTTTAAATTCAGAACAATGACAATGTTTTCCTTCACTGTTGAACTGAGTGCATATTTATTGCTTTTCCACTGGTTCTCTTTCCGACATTGGATGCAGCTTGCATTTATGCTGCAAATAGAGGAGATGCAATCCTCTCATCATGAGAAGAAGAGCAAAATCAGTCAGTAGCAGACATAGTGGGAACATATATTCCTACAGGGTGCAGTACCTGGTCGTCATAAACCTGTTTGGGTGCCATTTCTTTTTCTCCTTGCTTAATTTGCTTCCTACTTAGGAAAGATTCCAGGATCTGCAGTGCTAGTCTTTGACATCCATGTGGTTGACTTCCACAACCCTTCAGATTCGGTCAGCATTACCGTTAACTATAAACCTTCCAACTGCACTGTACTGAGCAAGAAGGGAGATTACCTGAAGTATCACTACAACGCTTCACTCCTAGATGGTACTTTGCTGGACTCGACGTAAGTACATTTCCTGGTAAAGAAAATGTCCCTTGTAGCTGTGAAAGGAGAATGAATAACCTGCAAAGCAGGCTGGAGGGGAAGACAGCATTTTTCTATCAAAAATTGACTATTTATATTAGAATATATTTTTCATGTCTGCTTACCTAAGACATATATAAGAGGAGGAAAATAAAGAGACAATCTATCATAGCTTAAAGAGAGAACTGAGAACAAATAGGGTATTGGAATATGTTAGCAAGGAACATAAAGTGCAGGCAGAGTGATGAAATAGGTTGTGTGCGTGGTAGATTGTTTAAAAGGGCTAATTCAGGTATCTGGGCCGATCGTACTAGAACGTCACAGGGCTCCGTATGAATGAACTTTCTGAGTTTACTCAGTTTCTTGGGTAGGATTTGCACTCTGTCCTGATTCAGTGCTCCTGAGAGGTCTGGCAGAGGCACTCAGTGTAGTTTTGTTTTGTGTTACCTTGAGTGTCTGTACAGGAAATGGTCACCACTGTGTCTCTGCCACTCACCAGTGCTAGTTTTCTTGTATTGTGTGGCTGCAGTAAGGGTCAGCATGGAGAAACTATTAGAGGGCTACATGATGGCTGGGACTGCAATGTTCCTCTTCCTTCTTCCTGTTGACAGTAGGTTTATGAGGAAAGCAGAGACTTCTGCCAGTCGTTCTCTCTCTTCAAAGAGTGGTTGAAGCACTTTGCCTGACAGCCTTGCTCCTTCCTGGTTGGTCTTGCTTGCTTTTGTGATATAAAACATATTTCATATTCAGCTACCTTGAACCCCCAGCACTGGTAGTGCAGCTGCAAGGATACTTTTGCTAGCTTCTTGTTTCTGTCTTTTGGATAGCAGTTGTCTTCTAAATAATATTTTATTTTATTTTTGGATAGGAAGTTGGAAAAGGCTATTTTTAAACAGGATATAATTAATACAGGAAGCAAGTCATAGTTTTCACAGCGTACACAATAGCTTGCAGAGCTGAAGATCTGGCTTACGTTGAGGCACATGATGTGATGCTATAGTGAAGTATGTAGACAAGTAACATGTTCAGCTTTAAAACACCTTTAATATGACAGGAACGCTCAAGTCTCATCTTGCAGTAGAAACCAAGAGATGTTGAGCTTGTGACTTACTCACAGCAGTTTGTGGAGAGACAAAGATCGTGAATCTTATGCTCCTAATTTTAAGGCTGGCTTCCTGTCCACGGAATTGCTTTCCTTCCGAATAATATTCTGTGGTACAGAAATCTCTTGCAATGGAACAACTAAGCCAAATAACCAAAGAAAGCAGGCTGACGAAAGAAAGCGTCCTGCTGTTGTGACACGTACCAAGTAACAAGTCTTAACACAGCACATTCTTCTTTTAAAATCACAATATCTGTTTACCTTCTGGGATTTTAACTTTTGATAATTTCTTATTTTAGAAATAAGACAACAGCTGCAAGGCATAATTCGCAGTATAATGTGGTTAAATAGCAGTAGTATTCTTACACTTCAAAGCTGCCGTGGTTAAGTGACTAACAGTTAAGTGATTAGTACGTTATAGTGAATGATTTAGTTAAAGGAATGGCTGAAACATGTAAATATAGGCAGATTCTTGTAGCTTTGTAGTTCCGGAACAAATGTACATCAGTAATTTTTAGATCTGCTAAAAAGCCAACTTTGTTAGTTAAGAATATTTGCAAGGCAAAAAGTCCTTTTATAAAGATAAAATACTTTGGAGGTTTAATTGGCAGGATTAATGATATTAATTGAATTTAATTCAAGAAGCCTAAAATTTTAATACTGGAGGACTTGGCCAGTCCTCTTGACAGTAAGGACACCTCTATTTGGTGTTGGCTGTAACTTGCTACTGAGAACAACTCGCTGTTGTAACTGCTTGGTAGAACAGGGCACTGGGCATGAAGTTAATTTTTGGCAGTGTCAGGACACTAATTAGAAACTGCTGTTTATGTGGTAATTTTGATCAGAGAAATTCTGTGATATGTTGCTTTTTTTGATTTTATTTTTTCTTCACCATTCCCAGACTTAGTCTTGGCAAGACCTACAACATAGTTCTAGGATCTGGACAGGTGGTGGTGGGGATGGACATGGGCCTTCAAGATATGTGTGTTGGAGAGCGGCGGACAGTTGTTATTCCACCTCATCTTGGGTATGGAGAAGATGGAGTTGGTAAGTAAAACCTAGTGCACATCCTCTTAACATCTCTTGAGTAACTGAAATACAAGTGATGCATGTTTTGTTACTGGCTATTCATTGGGACACAAGATGACTATAATAATTGAGACATCACTTAGCTGCATGAATGGGAGAATTTAGAGTTTTTTAATTTCATTATTTTAGCTAACCCCTTCCCAATGCAATGAGGATACTGTTTTTCTTGCATTTTAAGTCGTTATTATTATTCTGTGCCAATGTAAAAATTATCCCAGTTCAAAGGGGAGCACTCTCGTGCCCCCAGTAACATTGCATTGTCAAAAAGGAAAGCTCCAGGCACCCCAGTGGTGCAGAGCGGCGTAAACGCTGTTTTCGCAGATAGGGAATTAGGTACTCGCGCTCAGACGTACTATGTGTTATGCTGGAAACAAAACTAAAGGGGACCATTCAGCACTAAGGTGTTAGAAAATATAAAGACCGACTGAAAACTCAAAAACTGCTTGACCTGAATATAAGATGTGAATGCATGACAGGTGGTGTTGAAACGCCAGTAGTAACACATTTAAGGCAGTTTGGGAATCTCTGTTTTGCAACATTGAAGCTATCAATTTTTAGTGATAGGGACAGCAATAATTAAAAAGACAAACACAGAAATGACAAGAACTTTCAGTTTCCACTATGTGGAGTTGTTACTGGCCTTCTGAGGTAAAAGATTTGAAGGAAAGGATCTATCAGGAGATCACCAAGATCCACAAGCTCTGATTTGGATGGAAACAGTTGCATAAATTGGTCGGTTCTTCGAATACCTCAAGAACAGTTTGTATTTTTTAAATGTTCTTTGTTAGGTATCATACATCAAGCTTAATAGAAAATTACCTTGTGAGAAGAGATATATAAGCATTTTCACTTGTACTTTGCTTTCATAAAAGTTATGAATGAAAAATTATGAGTGTCATAAATACGCAACATTTTATACTGTTATATAACATTACATAATTATATGCAACTAAAAAACATGGAAACTTTGTAAAATGAAAAAACCACAATCTGTTATGTTAAAAAGACATTAAGTCATACCTGTCTTAAATATCTGGCATCATTCAAATTGCATTAGATATACATAGTCTGAAACATTGCATGATTATTAGTGTTTTGGTATATTTCTACATATCTGAGGAGACAGCCACTTATTTGTTACTGGACAGAATTTATAGGTGACATCTATTTTAATTTTTTAAGGATTTTCAGTGAGGTAATATACCAGGTCGTTGGGACGCTGTTGCATCTGTCAGTAGAGGCGAGATACGCAGCTGCAACATATGCAGCAGAGAGATAAAGGGAAATCAGTTATTTCCCAGAATTTTCAGTCTATGAGCTTAAAAAAAAAAAGGATGCAGTTCTATTATAAAATGTCCCTTTACATTAAATGCTTATCAGAGCAATTGAACTTGTTAAACTTGTTTAAATAGTGATACTGGAAATAACCCCTATTCCAGGGAATATATGCACGTGGTTTAAAGTTAAAATATGTGCAAGTATGCCTTCTGTGAATCAAAGCTAAGGGAGTGAAGTGCTGGTCATGTTATGTTTGTCTCTTGCTCTGCCTTTATCTCATGATCAGCATACTGTGCACAAGATATATGTGTGCTTGCTATATCTTATACATGTATTTTGCATCCAAAAACTGCATACCTCTAATCTAACCATGCCGTTAATGTATGGCCTGATCCAGCCCCCGCTGAAGTGAACAGGAAGGTTTGGTAGGCTTGGGATCGCAGTAGAGAAGACCCTCTTCGAGCAGGGAGAGAAATTTAATTCTGGGTGAAAAGGATAACGGGTAGTGGAAAAGGATAATGTAAGACATGTCAGGCAAGATCAGTGAGAGAGTGATCAATGTGAGATCAGGGTAAGAGAGGATAAATACCTCTCTCTGCTCTTTGTTGTGACAGAAGGAGAAGTGCCTGGTAGTGCTGTCTTAGTTTTTGACATTGAACTGCTGGAACTGGTGTCTGGATTGCCTGAAGGGTACATGTTTGTGTGGAACGGTGAAGTCTCTCCCAACCTCTTTGAAGAAATAGACCAGAATCACGATGGAGAGGTTCTTTTGGAGGAGGTAAGCCAAGGCAATGAAAACATTTGCAGTGATTTTCTCCTAGCACCATCGCCAAGGTACTCAGAAATGTTAAAGAACAGGGTCTCTCTCTCTTGCTCAGACACGCTTGCTCGTGTTCTCTGTCTCTCTTCTCTCTCTCTCTCCCTCTCTCCCCTCTTTTTTTTGTTAAGCTTTGGATATGGTGGTTGTTGTCAAATTAACAGGAAACCAGTTTGTCAAATTAAAATGCAATTATTTAGCTTTAGAGATGGAACTAAAAAGAAAAAAGAAGTATAGGAATGGCCATACCGCTTAAGAGCGTTTAGTGTTTTGGTCTCCTTCTGTGGTCAACAGCAGGTATTTAGGGAACAGGTAGAAGAGACGGGGTTAGTATTCAGTGGTCTTTTACCAGGTCAGCCTTTACAGGCTGTTAATTGGACCGTTGCAAAGAGTACCTGAGACAAGGCTGAGCTTGCAGCGTTGCATCCAGGAGCTGTCTAATCACTTCTGGAGCCGTGCAGTCCCCGCGGCTGCTCCTTCCAGAGGTGACTTGTATGCTGTGTGAACAAGCTCTTTCTCGTGCTTGCTTCTCAAGTCTGCTGCCTGAGAATTTCTTTGGGTACCCTAATGAAAAATAATCACTTCCTTTTGCCATACCACCTCTGATTCTGTAGATCTCCACCTTATTTCTTCTCCATTTTCTCTTTTCTTAAATGAGGAGTTCTGGTTTTTAATCTCTCCTCCAGTCAACTTTGTCACCTCTGTCTGTACCTTTTGGCTCTGTGTCCTTCGTCTTTGGAGTAATGCTGCATGCAACCCCTAAGGTGCAAGCTGTGGACCTAAAGAAAGCATAAGATGCCTTTCACTTGTTTTTGCCTCTTCTTGCTTCTCTCTCACACCTCCTTGTTTTCCTTCTTTCTCCATCCTTACGTTTATCTCCGCTTCTGCCCTTGCAGAGAAGATAAGAGTTTTTCTCCAGTCCGGAGAATGAGTGAGTTGGGCTGTGACTGATACCTACATCCTTCTGGTCACTTAGCAATGAGGAAAAGGAGGAGCCACGGAGATGTGAGAGGATGCATGGCCTAAAATATGTAAAAGAAACGTTAGAAATATTTCTCGCTGCCGAAGCTTATTTAGCAAGTAGCACCAGAGACTACAGTAACTGGAAAAATTGTGATGAATTGATTGTGGATGTTCTGGTTTTTGGTGAGCCAGCCTGTATGACTTCTGTCAGATGTTTTCAAATTACCTTGAACAACTTCGTCATTTGTAGCAGGACAGGGATTTTTAGGGAAATCTTGCCTGTAATCTCTACCTCCCTCTTTCCCCCTTCTTCTACGGAACTCCAGCCAAAGCCATGGGAATTGAGCGGAAGGCCTAAAGCCTGAAACTACTTTTAACCGTTTTCATGCTAGCCTTATACTCCAACTCTCATCTTTTGTTTCATTCTTTCTTTCTTTTGTATTTTCTTGTTTTCTTTTGTGTGTCTTGTAAGATGTAGGTGAGTGTCTGTTTTACAGGGTGAGCTTCTTGAATCAGCATGCTCTCTCCATGTACATCTGTTGCTAAGTCACTCTTTTTGTTCAACCCATCTTCCTCCTAAATTAGGAAAAATAACTTCTCTTGTGAATAAAATCCAGGACCCATTGGAATAAATGCAAAAACTCCTGTTGATCTCCAGATAGCGTGATGTAACCTCATGAGTTTGTCCTAATTAGTCCAGTTTAGGTTGTGAGCTTTATAGGACAGGTAGAGGGCGTTTTTATGCACACTTAATAATAAGCAGTAAAAGGCTGAATAGCCAACAGCAAATACCTACTTGTTTTGTAAACAAACGTTCAGTTTTAAATATCTGTTTCATTGTGAGCTGTTTTTCTCCCTCTTTCCTTCCACCTAGTTTTCAGAGTACATTCAAACTCAAGTCGATTCTGGCAAAGGAAAACTAGCTCCGGGTTTTGATTTTGAAAAAATTGTTAAGAATATGTTCACCAATCAGGACCGGGATGGAAATGGTAAAGTTACAGCTGAAGAATTCAAGCTGAAAGACCAAGAGGCCAAAGAGGAACATGATGAACTGTAAAGCTAAGAAAAGGCAGGGTATTGAGTTGACCGGCTGTTAGAATGCATCTGTCCTGGAAGGGGTTTAAGCAAGCGTTTCTGAAAGGTTAACGCACAGACGGGGTGTATGTACATGTTCTGCGTGTGCTGGTGCATATATGCTGGGTAGACTGTTAAAATGGGAAGAGATTTTAATTTGGAATTGCTAGGTATATTGCAAAAAAAAAAAATGAGTGAGTGCCTCAAGATGGGATTTATAAACTAATAGAGTGTACTGCCAAACATGGTTTTGTGAACCATGTGGTTTATTTTTATATTGAAGATTGAAAGTCATCACTGAACGATGCACAGTCACTTGGATGGATGGTAAGGAGAAAACTTACAGGGTGCTCTTAAGAGAGTTTTAAAAGACCTTTGGTTTTTAAAAATATTTCTGCAGGAGAATAAACCAGAAAATATTCCCCATGAAAATAACCTGTAAAAATTGTGAGAGATTGACCCCAGTTCCTTTTGGAAGGCAGGAACACTCTTTCCAGTAACTGGACCAACTCATAAATATCTGCCAGCAGGAACTCTGATTTGCAAATTACAGAACATGCAAATGATAGCTATGCCATTGGAAAATTTTCATAAGCTGTGAACTTAAATTAAACAGGTCGAGAATTGTAGTTGTGTATGTGCTGGGCTTTTACTTTACAAAATAAAAGCTTGCTACCATCTGTATCATATTTAATTAGTACCTTTGAGTCTTCTTGCTGGCGTGTTGAAGCAGTGTTCAGAACAGTGATTCCCAAACCCTTCTAGTTGCAATCTTATTTATAGTTTTGTCAGACTCTAAATATTAGTACTAAGGGGTCCAAATACTGTCATAAATACTGGATGAAATTGATTTTACCTTGGGCTTCTGTCTCCTATTTTGGGAATTGTTAGACTAAGGAGTCAGTACTTAGATCTTATGCAGCAGAGCAGTCTGGCACGGTGAACAAACAAAAAGACAGTGATAAAATCAAGAAATGGACCCATCTGTTTGTGCCTGCAAATGTTCTCGTGTATCCCTCAATACAAAATTAGTCCTGGGAGTGCTGCTTAGAGTGTGTGAATGCTTAGAGTGTGTGAATGATACAATCCTCCATTAGATCTATAAATGTAACAAGCTGTTTAATACAAAATACACTAAATAGGCACATTTTTCTAGAAAACTGTATGATCCCCCCACAGTATGCTACATTTAAAGAGCATGAATACCTATAGTGCAACACTGACAAAGACAAGTAGGAAGGGAGTTGTGTTTCCATTATATGCTTTGTATCTAGTTTCTTGCTTTCCTTGATCTGTACATGTGGGTTGTTAGCTCCCTGAGATGCTCTTTTTGCAAACTGCTATTTCAATTGGGTGAAAACATTTTGTATTGATTTTTAATATCATTGTTATAGAAAATGAAAAATGAAAAATTTTTTGGTTTTGGGTTTTGATATGTTGGATAACTGATGTTTTTGTTACATAAAATGTTGATCAACTACTACTGTTTACTACTACTGTTTTTTTTCCTGGCATTTTGATGGGTGGGGAGTCTGAGTAAAAGAAAACACCCTTCATGCAGCAGTCTTTTCATGCACACACAGGCTTATCCTGAGTATGTTCACTATTACTGTTAATCTTTAGGAAAGAAAGTCATAATAAAACAGTTAGTCTTCATAGTTCACATAGGTGAAATTAAATGATTCTTTGGCCTTGGAAGGCGTTTCCTAAATTACCCATCTCCTCTTGCCACTAGCTGTGACTGTTGGGAATGTGACGTTTCTCTAGGCTGGGGGCTCCAAGTCTCTCATCTAATGAAATTGCCTTACCTAAGGATCACCACTGCCTTCTGCAGGCTAGTGAAAGCAGCCTCTGTGCTTCCTTCCTAGCTGAGAGTTCGTGTTTGCATATTGTGCGTAGCTCTAGAATCACGTGAATTACATGTAAAATACCAGAAATGTAGGCTGACAGATCATAGCTGAGCTGTCTTGGGGGCAACGTTAGCCCTTTGTATCTAATGTAAATACCATGGACGTTAGTGGGTTGTGCTTGGAATCTAAAGGTTTATTACCCAACTGGCAACTCAGAAATGCTAATATTTCACAAAAGCAGCATTCTCAGAAGACTGCTGCATAAAATTTTTGGAAATTTTCCAAATAAAATTTCCATTTTATTTGGAAATTGATTGCTCGCCTATTGCTGTAGTTCAGATTCATTGCTTCTGCACGTTTACAGAGCTGAAATACATGTCTTTTTCCACCTGGGAGCTGGAAGCAAGGTGAGACTGAGTGCTGCCAGAAGCAGTCCTCACATACAGCGTGGAAGTAACTCTGTACTCTCTTCTCATAGATAGTCACCCAGTGCACCCCAAGTGTGCAAGTGTGTCAGCTGAATATCCAGAAGGGTTTGAGCTGAGGAGATCTTCGTGAATAGGTCTTTCAGCATGGAGGATCCCTGGGGATACTCCGAAGACTTTCTAGAAAACCCTGAGAGCAGAATCTTCCTGCAGGGCACGTTTAGGACAAGGAGCAGCACCAGGCACAGCAGGGCAGCAAGGTGGTAATCGGGAAGGTTGCTGTGTTGGGAGTTTTCTGGAAGGGCAAGTTGGAGATGGTGTGACAGGTATGACTTGGCCACAGCCTCTGACCAGCGGGTGTCTGAGGAGTGAAATTCTCATTCGATTGCTGCCCAGGCCTTAGCAGATGTGATTTGTGATCTACCTGAATGTCATTTTCCTGTCAGAGAAAGTTTTTGTCATGTTCTTCCCCCGCCAAAAATATCTGGAGACTGCATTTTCTGAAATGAGTATGCAGCTTTGGGGGAAAGCAGAGAATGAAATAGAAAAATTTGCTACAGAATACTCGTGTCAAATAAATAAATAAGTTGTATTTACACTGGTTATTTACTTGCCCAGACAAAGGCAACAGAAGGCAGGACTAGCTGGGTGGTTAGGCTGAACTGCACAAAATCCAGCGTTTTAAAATCCTTAAAGTGAGTTGCTTTCCTTTCTGCTGGCAGCTCTAGGTGCCTACCTCAAGGGAAAGCTCTTCCTTGTCATCAAACGCTTGTGTTCGTGCTGGCTGCCTCTGCCTGCGGCTGCGTGTGGTGCCCCTTTGCAGGTGAGGGTGCTCCCACTGGGCCCCTTTCCCGGGCCCTCAGCGCTGCCGTCTCGGCTGGGAGGGCCTGCGGTTCGCGGGTGCCGGGCGTTGCTGGGCCTGAGGGGCTCTGAAGAGCCTGTGGGAGGGGAAAGAAAAAATATTTTAACGTCTTCTGTGGGAGCTCAGTGATGGCTCTCATTGGGCAGCAAGTGGGATATAAGCTGCCGGGCAAGAAAACCAGAGCCTGGGGGGAGGCAGGCTTGGGCAGGTGTTGAAGGGGAGAACCTGGGCCTGTCCACCTCACAACTCCGGTGGTAAATCCTGTACATCCCTGCCTAATTAGAAGGGAAGTAAATGTTTCTAATTTTTTTAATAATTCATGTGGAAAGTATCTATTTAGATACTTTCATAGCTACTTAACTAAGATATTTAGTTACCTATTTAGAAAAATAGTGCAAATCTTTAAGGTTAAGTATCATTAATACTTGCATAAAAATAAGTGGTCTTCTCTAGCTCAAGAGAGACTCTCCAGAAATTAGACTGCTGCTGCTGTACTGAAGCAGCCAGGTGCGAGGCTTGGAGAGAGGCAGCTGGCTCCTATTAGGCAGCCTGTTGCTGAGGGGAAGCTGTCGGCAGTCGAAGTTGAAAATTACCTGCTGGCTTGCAGCAAGTTCAAGGGAAGAGAAAACAGAGGCGTCTACCCACAAACCTCCAGGTATTTATAAATGTTTTTTTCTGAGTGATTTTTCTATCCTAATTTGCCACAGATACTAAATACCATACAACTGTTCATATTTTAAGTATATTATGCAAAGATTTTACCAAAATAAGTTTGCATTTTTTTGCAATTGTTGAACTCAAATGTTAACTTTTTTTGTGTGTGAAAAGTTATTAATTCAGATTTTTCCTTTAAGCTTAGAAACAGCATCTTTACTAGTTCTTGGTGCACGTGTCCTGCTCAGTGCAGGAGTGTTAGTGTGTCTCTTTGGCAGTAAGAGGACATTTGAGGAGGCTGCAACACCCACTCAGCAGGAGGAAACATTTCTAGCTAGATAAAGGTCTGAAATAGTTGACCTTGGACATGTGCTACAGAGAGAACAGATATTGTGAGTAGAGAAAAAACTAAGTAACAATTTCATGTAACTCTGCTTCTTATTCCTTGCTTTAAGTGTTAGAAATATACCTTTTGTTATGAAAAAGTTTTGGGGAAATGTATGTGATACTTTCCTTTCCAAACTGAATCAACTGAAACGTGCTATTAGGGTTGTGATCTGTTTCTGGTTAGAAATTTGATTTAGAAAGATGTAGCATAATAATAAGTCTTTCCTAAAACTGAATGCATAATGTGGATGGCACTTTTAAGTTACAAGAATTAGACTTGCTGGAAAAAGATGGTTTAACCTATAGCTGCAGTGTTGATTTTGTTTGAAGTAACTGCTCTGTAGCTTGTTTGTGGTTTTGGAGAGGTGATTGATAGTATTAGTTCTTCTAGCCAAAATAGCGGGAGTAAAAAGTGGGGGTTTTGATCAAAAATAGATAGTGGCTTCTGGTTTTGTTTTGAGAAAGTGGAGGATATCTAAAAATGCATTTTGCATTTTCTCTTAACTACTGGCACGTTAGATAATGAAAGGATATTGGTAACCTGTCCAGTAATATGTAACAACTTTTTAAATGGTTTATCCTCCTGATTTATCAAGTGAGTAATTCTGTTTTTTCTAGCTAGCTATGCATATGGTATTTCAAGAAGTAAACTCACTTTTGGCGCATGCTCTTTGTGCAGGAAATGGGTTCCTCCAGTTAAATGTGGTTGTTGCATCTATATGGCTTAGCTGCTCCTACATCCCAGCCAAAGCAGAAGGACAGAGCAGGCTCCGTTTGGGCACCCCGTAACACAGGGCCTAAGACAGGTAGGGCATTGTGATAGAACGGGAAAGTGGGCAGCAGGTTTTTACATACCGACGTAGTTGTGGAAGGATGATAATCCTTTTCTTTGAGTGATTGTCATTGTGGCTTGAACTTTTTGGTGAGTGACAATTCAGTGTTGCCTCCAAGCAGATGAACAATGAAAAGTCCTGCTTAGTTAATGCTTGAGAGATGGTTGCCTCATCTGAAATCCTCCATCAAGGCAAAGGGTTTTAAGTGTCCATCTAGTTGTTTTTGGAAGCAGTGAAACGTTTCCCAAAATGATCAGGTGCTTCTGATACTGCCTGGGCTCCAGCTAATCTAGTAAGTTGAATTAAGACACAGTTGGGTATCTGTTTTGATAATTGCTTCTAAAGATACTACCTAACCCTTTTCTATATTGCTTTGCATGTATTTTCCTATCATCTGTCTGACTTTTTTTTTTTTTTTTTTTTAAATTGTGGCTGGGTTGAATGATGAGGTCCTCATCACGGTGAAGGAGTGATAGTTTGCTTCCTGTGGAGCTCAAGAAAAATCTGAGAGGAGGATGAATGAGCTCACATGAAATTCTGGAACAAGTTGGACAAGAACTTGTAGGACAGTCCTGCCCCTCAGAAAGGCTACACAAAGGGACCAGAGTTGTCCTCTCCTTTCAATCGATGCTTGGTTCTCCAATCTCCTATGCTTGAAGCCAGGACAATATTGTGCCAGTGTGTGTTGCTGACGGATCTTGTGCTGTGAGCTATGGCTATCAGTTGCCTTTCACATACTCAAAATTTAAACTCTTATCTTGGATTCCAAAGGTAGCCTGCCTGTAAATGGGAACACTTGTCGCAGTGTAAACTTTGGGAGTAACGCCTGGTAATTAGCCCCTTGCAACTGGAGACTGGATGATGATTAAGCAGTATATCCAAACACCTTGGAGTTTTTCAGGAGGCCTTTGCCTTTTGAACTGTACTTGGCAGCTATTACAAAAGATCCTGCATGATGTCTTTTTTAAAAAACAAAAACAAACAACCCCCCCAAACAAAAAACCCAGACCCCTCAAACCCCTGACACTAGCTCAGCTACTGCCAATTCTATAGGTTCTTAAACCCAAAATGTAGATTGTTTAAACCAGTTGTGGGGCTGCTGCTGTCCCCTGGAAATGCTGCGGCATCCCCAAGGAGTGCAGGCATGCCCGGGGTGGCACAGACCACAGTGCTGAGCAGGCAGCTCACACCCAAGCCCTGTGTGTGTGTGTGTGGGGGGGTTCATACATGCACAGTGTTGCCCTACCTGTCTTGCCTACAGTGCAGAAAGCAGAGCCTGTTGGCAGAAGATGACAGCGCAGAAGGCTCCTCTAGCTTTTGCAACATGACTGTGCTGCCCTCCCCTACGATCCGGGCAAATGGGCTGGCCGGAGAGAGGTTGTATAGCAGTGCCCAGCCAGGCTGTGGGGACAGACGCAGAAGAAGGAAGGGAGCAAGCGCCCACTTTGTGTGGTGAGGAACATCCTTCCT